TCTGATTTTCGCTATTGCATAAATAGCACTCTCTACTGCGAGGATCGTGCATCATACGTATCTATAACCGCAGTTCAAAATATATGAACTTCATATAGTCATCATATCACATGTAATAACTGGTTGTTCGCCCACGTATTCTGATCTTCAAAGTGATTGTCACAGTTTTCTGAACTTGACATCGACCTGGAGAGTTCTATGCGATTCCTTCTGAAACCATGATCATTTCAATTTTCTCACTTCTTGTTGGAAGCATCTAAATAAATGCTTCTCATTAAATTTTTCACATTCAACAAGTTCACATCTGTGATCGAAATTCCCAGTGCACTCAGACGAAACGCAGGTCTGATGGTCCAGACTTGTTCATGAAACAACACAGTCATATTCGCTCTTCTCCTCGTCGGCCACTTCTTCGCTTTCCTCTTCCTCGTTACCAAGCTTTTCTTCATCCTTACTCGTGCTGGACTGACGTGAGTAGCGCCCCAAGTCAGGAGCAGGACTGCTGTCCTTTTGTTCAGTGGGCGCATTTTTAGCAGCTTCCAATGCCGCGTCAAGGGCAAGCCAGTGTTCTTTGTGAAGGCCGAAAAACAGCTGATAACCATGGCTGATGAAAAAAAAAATTAAGAAATAAAAAAGATAAAATAGTCTTCACATTGATATAAGATGTGAAAAATATTGTTGCAACTTGCACAGAAATGAAATGGCTACTGTCGAAACTGACACATACGATATAACCACAACAAAAAATACTTTGTTTAATAACACAGGACGAATTACCAGTTCTGCTCAGCCCAGGCCTCCAGTGATCCCATTCCATCTTTTACCCGGGTCAGTGAGTCAACAGTTGCGTCACGCATTTTAATCATGTCATCAACGAAGTCAGTCAAACACGTACTGTCACGTAACACCAGGGAAAGAATGAACCACCAATCGTGACATTTGGCCTCGATAAATATTTTAAGCAAAAATCTTAAAATGAAGTAAGAAATACGACGTTAGATATTACAACAAAAATATCTCCATTTCCAAAGAATTCCCTATAATATGTTAGGGAGCTTCATATCAATGACATATTATATCCTTTGACGATTCACAGAAGTACCTATCTCTTTGAGCTTTAAATTCACATAAAGTATCACGAGAGAACTGGACGGATACGAAAGGAGTAAAGCACTACTTAGTAAGTGGGGGTGGGGGGGGGGAAGTAAAGAGTCAGACCATCCCCTGCCCCCCCTTCCCACGACATTCGAGACTGAAGGAATCTCAGTGACGCGAGGTTTAGGGCGCACGATTTCAACTTAGTCACTTTAGGTTTAAAACTACCTTTGGAGGTCCCTAGAGTTTTTTTTTTCCTTGTTTCAACTCCTCGGTCATGCATGCAAAGAGCCAGTTGGTTTGTCTCCCATCAAAGGTTGTGCCTCTGCATTAAAGCAGATTCTTGACATTAACAGAAACTCCCTTGAAAGGTCAACCACCACTGACCTTATCTCTCTCAGCGCCTGCAACGAACCACTGAACGCAAGCTGGGCTCGAATTTCCTGTACATCCACGTAACTAGGCCCTTCCCCGCCCCATATCCAGTCCTCCTCGCCATCCATTGAGTGCGCTACTGAACTAGTTTCCGAAGGATCACCGCTGACTCGACCGCTTTCATCATCTGTGGAAACAACAGAAACTTAGACGCTTCTGGTGAGTGTAACGGGCCGAACGCTTTGTCCAAAAAGGCGGCTCTTCCGTCCAAGAAAACTTAACAGAAGGCTACGTAACCAACGATACTTCGAGATACTTACTTCTACAGACCGGGGACAACTGGGCCTCTTCTTCTTCCACCTCTTCTCCAAGTTCGATTCCCAGTTCCAGTCTACCTTCCAGCTCATCCAGATTTTGTCGGCCGCCTCGTGTGCTACTTGACGAAGACACTGATGATAATCGACCTGATAGAAATATCTTAAGTTAAACGTTTCTTCCATTGAATGAAACCAGTGTCTTCTTTTTCCAGCCGAAAACTTCTGTAGATTTATTACCATCTGATATGTTAACTCCTTTAACTCCCTGAAGTGATTGACATTTAACTTCTCCCTATAATATCCCCCACATTATCCAGCAAACAGGTAAGGAGAATACTCAAAATTATCAGGTAGTTGTTATCTTGATCTAACATAAGATTCTCGAAACTAATTCACAAGGAAATGTGTAGCAGCTAGAGGGGAGAATAAACAATCAGAGCTTGGGAGTAAAAGGATTAACATTTGCTATCGAGATATGGAACCTCGTCCATCCCATAATATCCACTAGCGATAAATATTGAAGAGCATTAACTTCATTCTTCAATCGGGATTTGAACGCAAGTAATTCCACAGGGAGTGGGGGAGGGGGTATCTGAAATTCAGGAGCATACCAAGATGACTTATTATTTACAAATCTTCATTTCGTCTGACCAGATTTGAGGAGGGGGAAACAGATACCCTAGTACCCAACCTCCTCTCAAAAAGTTTCATTCTCACCATTTCTTATCCAAGGTTTAGGAGACAGCGGAGCAGATGACAGTTGATTGACAGCTGGATAAGGAAGATCGAAACTCTTGTGGATACTTGTTAAAGTTTCAACGTAATTGTCTACTCGAGCAGCGCGATTCCTAGCAAAGAAAGAAAAAAGATGGGTCATGCTAAGCTTCTCTTCAAAGCCATAAGTTAGTTAATGCTATTCTACAATACTTGCACAAACATGGTCATATATTCAGCCAATTTAACGTCTTTAAAATCACCCTAGTCAATATGAACCATAACGTCTCAAAGGTGGTAACCGGTACAATTGACCGCTCTTAGTACCTCTTATTATTATCTTATGTCACTTGGAGTTATTTCAAGTTTAGCAGGTAAAAGGTTGTTCTTCCGGTTCGAAAATTTCTTTATCCCTTGAGCTAAAAATATGGGAGAACAGTGCTAACGTCTGTAATCGGACATCTGTGTCTAAAATAGGTCACTGGTGTCAGAATCAGACACTTATGACTGAAATCAGACGCTAGTGTCTAAAGTCAAACACTGGTCTCTAAGATCGATACAAGTGTCTTAATTCCAAAATAAGCGTCTAAAATCAGGCACTAGAGTCTAAAATCAGACACTTTTGTCTAAAACCGTACACTAGCGTCTTGTGTCGGACATAGTAAAATATCAGACACTGATGTCTACAATCGGAAACTAGTGTATTAAGTTGGGCACTAGTGTCAAAAAACTGACACTAGAATTTAAAATCGGACACCAGAGTCTAAAGTCGTACTCTAGTGTCTCACACTGGGTACTAGTGTTCGAAATCGGGCTTTAGTGTCTAAAATCGGAAACTGGAGTCTAAAATCGGAGACTACTGACCGAATTGTTCGCTAGTGTCTTAAATCGGACACTAATATCTAAAGTCATACAATAAAGTCTTCCATACAACTGTTATGATGTTACTTCAGTGAATTTGGCATTAGATCAACTAATAATCCCCTAATTGATATTTTTCTTTATTCTCATCTCTTGTCTGCTTGATATTGTATCGATATTGTAAGGAGAAATTCTGTCTTAGTCACTAACAGGAGTTTAAGGGTTAACCACATGGAAACAAGACCATGTTTACTTACCTCTCTTTGCGCAGCCAAGGTACAAGAGGAAACTCTAAATGAGCGGAAAACTTTCCCAAATCCTTAAGACGTATGGCGGTTAGTAGTAATCTAGCATGACGATTCAATATGGTGTCGATGAAAAAGTTGTCGGGTGTTTCAAAATCCGTGAACCGTCTATCCAGGGAACGAGAGAGAAAACTTATTTCAGTAACCTTTTACATCCTAACATCAGTATGCATATTCTCAATACTGTTCTCTACACATTTCTTAAGGTGCTGACAAGGAGAATTTGTTTAACAATCAAGAGCTTCTTTAGTTAAAGATGAGGATAAAGTGAAAAGGAAAGAAAAAGCTTGAGGATGGACAAGATAAAAAACAATATCACAAATGACAAATATTAACCGCTCTGAAGAAAGGCTAACTCTTGAAATGTCAGATTTAAAAAACCTTCTTTGACGATAGCCAATTCACATCATCAACTTGATAAAACTAAATTATCTTGTAATACCCCCCCCCCTCCAAACGACGAAGACTAGAGTTTCTTTAGAAACTTAGCCCTTTAAAAAATAGAGTCAAACTAATTGTTCAAGAACACAAACGCGTTGTTTGATTCCTTCAGTTAATTTCACAAGTTATGTTACAGGTAATAAGCCACAAACGAGAAGAATGATGTCACAAACTTACTTTGGTTGCATGGCTGAAGTTGGCGAGCTTGATGCTACACTTTTCCGTGACTTGTCCACAGAACCTGACCTCGTGAGAGATCCCTTCTCTGATGAGGAAGTTCTTGTTATGTATGCTTTCTCCATTGAGCCTCCGCGCGTGAGGGACCCGCGTGATGGTGGCTTCGTCACGCTGGAGGAGCGTGGGTGGGGATTTACCGTATAAGGAATATCATCATTATCTACAGACGCGGCTGGACTCAGGGGTGGGGGATGGTGTGGTTTCACGAACGTAGGAGATCGTGGAGGAGAGTCGAGTTCGTCTGCTCCAATACAACGAAGAAAACGGACAAGATCGCGCGCAATCTGTGGAGAAAACACAACCATAAGATATTATAGTTCACCACTAAATTTTCTCCGATTCCTATTGGTTTAAATCGATCACGTGATGCGATAGTGTTCATCCGTGGAGAGACACTATCAGCCCATAGTGCCCGACCGCGGAAAATGCCCAGATGGATAGTGCCCGTCCGCGGAAAATACCCGGATGGATAGTACTCATCAGTGAAAAGTTTTAAATGGTTTGATGGCCGCGAGGTTAGGCAGATCGGAAAAACAGTGACTTTTCAATTCTGGTTGCGAGTTATTGACATTTGTGATAGGCTGTACGCATGAATAAATATTTGATTGATCTGCATTTTGGTGGGTTTTGACTGTTTCTCAACCGGCGCGCGGAAGAAAATTTAGTGGTGAACAATAACGACAAAAGAGTGTTTATGTCTCGGAACTATCGGTCTGATAGTCCCTCGACAGAAACACTCTATTGTTTAAATAATGCGCCGCGTGAATCGAGATTGATAGCATAATAACGGGATCAAATGGTTAAACGCATTTACATTTAACATAATTCTCGTATGACAATTTCTAAACTTACGTTCCATTTGCAGCCGTCCAAAGCTTTATCCAGTAAGATAGTGGCATGCTTAAAACAAGATAAAATCATGATTCAGCATTTTAAACATTTTCTTAAGGAACAAAAGCAACAAAATGGCAACATCCAAAATGCGACAGGTTTCTCAGGAGAAAATGGCGCTATACAAATGAAGTATTACTATTATTATTATTATTATTATTATTATTATTATTATTATTATTATTATTATTATTATTAAAATGGTAGGGATGGTAGGAGGGGCAGTTTCGTAAATTCTTCCTGAAAGAACAGAACACTAAGCAAAAGTTTGTGACACTCTTCCACGACCTGAAAACGGCCTGGGCGGCTTTCCAGGGTTCAGTGCAGAGATTACAAGAGTTCAAATCCTTTTCTAACCTGTTTGCTTACAGCTGGTTGCTCCAAGTTCTGAAGAATAATGAGGTATGAGGCCGCAGTCTCAAGTTTACCTGCTGCAAGACAATCCTGGTACGAACAGACAAACAAAATCTTCTGAATACTACAAATAAACGAATACTGAGTTTACACTGAACTTTTACACTAGGGCCGGACAGGGACGATTGGGGCGACCATTCCACCCTTAAGAGAGACTAACATCTTTCTTCCCCTCACAGCATCACGCCTGAATTACACATTAAGGGTACGAGAGTAAAGGAAATGATCGCAAAAAGAAAGAAGCGCTAGATCGACACATTTTCTTGTCAGTAAGAAAGCAAATATATAGAAAACAGTATGGAGAATAAGTAGACTGATCTTGGGGTGTGGTAGATTAAGCTACTCACTGCAAATAAGTCGCGTGGATTACCAACAGCCATGAACAAATAACTCCACAAAGCCACCTCTGTCTTTCTCGCGCAGTGCACGACTGTCTCAAGGTATTGAGGAAATTCCTTTATAAATCGCACGATACGAGGAAGAAGAGCATCTGTCAAGAGAAAAGAACAGAAAAGTCAAATCCATGATTCACAAGCCCTTATCCACTGACAAAACGATTGAAGTTGCCGTTTCTTTGTCTTCACTGACCATCTCCTGAGACTGATAGCAGATAACATTTCTCACTTGCCTGGAATGGGTTCAGATGCTGTGGCTTCTTCTTCAAGTACCTCATGTAACATGAGTTCAAGCACGTGAGGAAAGTACGGCAAGTCACAACACATATTGGCAATCTTCAATGCTTGTTGGCCCAAGCTGACAGAACAGACGAAGAGAAAGACGCATAACTGAGAGAATGACGGGAAACACGCCTCACAAAACTTAGAAAAATACTTTTTTACTTACATTCATGACATCTAAATCCTAATCTTTTCAACAACTTTTTCGTGGACTCATGTCGAGCTTAAATCTCGTGGTGCGTTTAACCCTTTAACTTCTATTAGTATAACTTCAGAGCTGAGCAAAGAGTTTCCAGCAATCTGATTGGTCGAGCGGTTCCTTATATGACGCCGCTATATAAACCGCTCCACGTGGTTTATATAAAATGTCAAAATAAAATGTTAATAAATGTTACTAAAATGTTATGATTTTAGAAATTTCTCTGTTGTTCAGCTCTGAAATTATACCAAAACAATTATTCGCCTCAGGTTCGGTGAATATTGTCGAATAATCCCCTCGACTTCGTCTCGGGGATTATTCGACGATATTCACCGAACCTGAGGCGAATAATTGTCGAATGGTGACTAGCGTCTAATTTCTTCCTACAATGTCACCCTTGAGTCAAACAAAAGGGAAAGGAGATCATGCTCTTGACTGCTAAAGAAATTCTCCTTTTCAGGAGAAACTCAGATTTTGTTATGCCAAGATTCAATACCGTGACGTACGGAAAACATAGCTTATGATATCTGGGCCCATCTCTCTGGTCAAGATTAGAAACGAAAGTCAGAAACTCGGAATCTTTAAATACGTTTAAAGGGAAAATCCGAAAATTAGACCTAGTAGGAATGATGGAAGATAATTGTAGAAATTGTACACTATGCAGTAGTCAATTAAGCATCCTACAGTGAGGGACTTATAGGATTTAGGATTTTAATCATAATTCTTAACTTTTAATTCACTACTAGTTAGGTGTCCACCATTAGTTTATGTGAATGTAAGCTAGATTTACCCGACACGTTAATAAAATTTTTATCTTTATCTTTATCTTATCTTATCTTCAGCACCTTAGGAAATGTATAGGAATCAGTGTGGTGAATGTGGATACTGATGTTTGGGTGTAAAGGTTAAAGAAGTCACAAGGCATAAAACGATACTCACTTTCGACGCAGCAGTTGCCTTAGCACGTGATGAAGGTAGATTTGCGTCTAAGAAGAAGTAAATGTTAATTAAATCAAAATCAAATATTTAAGATACATGAGTCGCGATGGTAGCTCACCCTCCTTTTCTTTTCCAAAAGTGTTTGACATGTGAATTCTTTTCACAGGCGGTTATGATATATTACTTGGCAAACAGGTGATGAGGGTTAACTAATTTATCAGCTGATTTTATCTTGATAGAAGGCCAAATTCTCTTCACGTACTTAAAAGGAAATGTAGAGCAACAGGGAAGGAAAAGTTACAAATCAGATTTAAGGAGTAAAGAAAGATGTTTTTCGTCTTGTCGCGAGCGTGGGACAGAAAAAATTCTGAGTTCCAACGAGGAATCGAAGCCTAGGATTTTGAATTCCGCGCTCTGATTGAAGGAGTTTAAGGATTGTCACTTACCGTTCGTTCCAGAGTGCAAAAAGGAAAGGCTTGCGGTGAAAGGGACGTAGGAGCAGGAGATGTACATTCTAAAGGCATCGGTTCATTAGCTGCACCAAGAATCACAGCATCTTGAAATAACACAGCTATGAGGAAAAAGGTTCAGATTACGGAAGATCAAAGGTGTAATTTTACTGACAATCCGAAATATTAAAATATCCAATATGTTAAGTTTTGCAGGTTTATCAAATTAGCCCCATAAGCAGCCCCTTTGCAGAAATACGTCTGATTCGTCTTCAGTCCTTTTCATGACTCGCGTGACCAACGCGGGCGGTAAGGGAGCGTGGGGCGTGTCCTTTCCCATTCGAGACGGGGGAGCCTGGACCTTCTTATGATGAGGAACTACGTGCTGTTGTAGGAATAACTCAGAATTACCAAGTGGATAGATGTTTAGATGGAAAGGCAACATGATTCGTTTCGATAGAAAATTCGGCGGGTTTTCATCATTTCCAGGGAATAACGGGAGCCACACCTGCATGAACGAAAACAAACACTATTGATTACGGTTGGGAAAAGTTCATGACAAAATATTACATTAAAGTGGTTTTAAAGCAACCACAGGGCTCGACACTAACGGTAGCCAGCTAGCCACAGACTATTAGGAATTCAGTTTTGAGTAGCGGTTTTCGATTTCCACTAACCAGTTTGGCTAGTAAACAAACTGAAATTGTTGTAACATCTACGTTGTCACAAGCCACGTGACTGGTAAGTTAAAAAGTTAGTGACGAGCCCTGAACCAAAATGTACAGTTGATTCGAAGGGAGTATCCATCCTCACTTGACAATCTTATGTAACACGCCCCAAGTGTCCCTCCCAGTCGGAGCTCATCCCGCTTTCCTAAGCATGAAGCAACTAGGAGTATTACTACCCTCCCCTAGATGGGATGCCAGTCCATTCTAAGGCCACCCCACTGCAATTCATCAGGCTTCCCTAAAAATTTCCCAATACCCATTTATGCTCCTGGATGGAGAGAAAAATCAAGAGAGGTAAGCGTTTTGTTAAGAACAGGCCCTGTCTGGGATATCAGCTGCGGCTCGAGAATACATAACATTACAAAAAATAGTGGTTTGAAAAATTTACGGAATGGCTGCGTCACAAAATGTTGCCGAAGAGATGTCAAGTTCACTGATTGTATACTTATAAGCATGGCTGTCTGATACCTTCATTCCATTTGCGCCACATCCTAGCCACAAAGCTTCCATTAAATGTCTCTTGGTTCGACTTGAAGTGGACGATGTCCACACGTTCTCCACACACGAGGCCAAGACAACAGGGGAACAGAATGAAGACTGAAGGTAAAAGAAAAAAACTTCTATTGGAAGGCATCAATAAGGAATACGGTGTCATTCAACAGAGGCCCTGTCTACTCAATGAAGTGTAACTTCTTAAATAAAGCTGTCAAGAATCCCTGACAATTCGCCGGTAGCCATTTACACTCCTGAATGGTGAGAGGCTTTGTGAGAATAAATTTTTTTGCCCAAGAACATGAAACATTGACCTAGCCAGAGTAACGATGTTTTTCATCTCGTCACTGACGAACCTCACATCAGGCCTATTTGCAAAAGTGACAATTAAGTAGAGAGAATTTCGTAAAATTATTTTTTCTTTTACAATTGAAAACTACTTGAACGCACCAGGGCTCGACACTAGCTGTAGCCAACTGGCCACCGACATGTAAATATTCAGTTCTGGCTACTGGTTTTCGATTTCCACTAGCCAGTTTGGCTAGGAAACAAACTGAAATTGTTGTAATATCGAAGTTGTCACTAGCCACTTGGCTAGTAAGTTGAAAAGTTAGTGTCGAGCCCTGCGCACAATACAAGAGACTAACATGGCATGATGCAGGTTATAGTACTGAGCCGGTATATTTCACGACTGTATATAATACCTTTCTCGTCTTTCTTTCAGGATTCGCCTTATCCTTCTGAAGCATCAGCAGCCGTCCCCCAACATTTGTTATAAGAGACTCCACGCCATCCAGTCCATCCGACCCTTGGTAATCTAAAGAAATAAAAAATACCATAACCTTTTTAAACCCGAAGATCAGTATATACCTTCTCCATACTTCTCTCCATATATCTCCAATGGCACTGAAAAGGAGAATTTATTTGACAATCAAAGGATTCTTAAGTCGATGATCACTTCCTTAATTCTCATGAATTTTATGTTTGATTTAGCAATGATACTGTTAGGAGCAATTATATACTAGTGACTCTCAGGGGTTAAGGGGTTAGTTGCGTGATTTTTCACCCACCTGCATACAGTGACGTTAACGTGACATGTACCACTGCTAAAGGATGAGGCACGTGATTTACTAACGCCACTTCTTGCACGCGTGACACCTGCACCTTAGGAACATCTGTGAGAAAATAATTTCGTAAATCATCACTGGAGTTCTTAGATTACCGTAACCGTTCCCTGTTCCTATTATTCGCCTCTCTCCTCTCTCCAAACATAAATTCAAAAAGAAGATTCTGCAGTTGTACTTCTAACAGTTAACAAGTTCAAAGATAAGTTTATGTTGTGCTGATAACGTTATAACAAAACCAAGAAAAGGAAAACCGTGTCTTGCTCGGCTGATTATCTGTTTTGCGAGAAAGCAATCGTTTTTATGCTCATTTCGAAAAGCTCTTAGTAATCCCTTTCTAGGTCACCCTCCTCCATATATAAGTCTTTCAACCCCAACCTCCCCCCTTTCGAAGCTGTCTAAGCCAAGCCTAGCATTTGATTGCATTCTCCTGTTAGCCTCGTTCCAATGATGAGCAAAATCAGAAACAGAAGCGATAGAGAAGTAGAAGGGGATCTCAGGGGGGTGTAACCCCGTCTCTTACTTGGATCATCATCAGTCCTCTCCAGTGAAAAAAACACCACGCGGCAATCAGAACTGTAAACCAACAGCAAGCAACGAAACACATTCACAAGGAAAGCTGGAGCAGGCAGCTTCACATTAACAGCAAATGCATTGTCTAAATTACACGTCCTGGGGTAGAAACGAACCTAGAAAACAAAGAAATAAGCAAAACCAGAACACAAGAAATCGTCTTAGTTATCACGTTGATGTTTCGATGGTTTACACCGTCCCTTACTTCGTCAGATGATGAATTTGAGTTATAGCAGGGTACAATGAGGAAATCCCTCCACCAAGCCAGGCCGCCACGACACGAGAAACTTTGCTCCTGCATATTAAAACAAATAACAAAAATCAGTTAATCGAAAAAGGCTTTGAGATTCTTTAACATTCCCTGAAAAATTGACAACGATTTTTGTCCCAAGAAATTGTACAAAACACCATTTCAATACCAAGGTCTCCACATGAATTCTCCTAGCTTTCTGTCGTACTTTTCTTCAAGTTTTAGCTCTGAAAATTTGGTCTTAGATCAACTGATATAACGTAGTTGATCACATTCTTACTTCTCAACATCTTTTTACTTGGAAATGTATTAAAGGTGTAAGGAGAAATCACTTACTGGTCACTCCTGGCAGCAAAAGGGTTACAAACCTGTACCTGTCATGCCAAGATGTCTTCATACCTGTGAAACATTTCCAAAAAGCTTCCATTTCCTGATGTTGAGCGAATAGTGAGCGATTCCTGTTCTACCAGCCACAGCGATACAGCGTCCGCTCTTGTCCACCGCAGCATACTGCAATAAAATGAAGGCATTGTTACCCGTGTTATGTATATGGCATGTCTAGGTCAGATCAATATCAGTATCTGAGCACCCACCCCCACCCCCCTAACCCAACAATAGTCAACTAATGACGAGTTAAGGTCAGTGCTGGGTTAGGGGAGGGGTGGGAGCGTAGTTTTCAGATACTGACACTCATCTTCATGGTCAATAAATTGATCTCTTTCCTCGTTGCTTATTTTTTTGGTAAAAAACTTTTGTATGTGAATAGAGGTGTCAGTTCATGACCAAAATTAGCAAAGAAAGTCGATTATGACCGTAAAGCTTAAAACTAAGTGGAACTGACTACATTTCTACACCTGTTTGACATCTTGGCAATTTACCGGAATTATTCTTTAATTTCTTTTTCATTTATGCAAGGGATTTTCATGTAATAAGGTTCGAAGTAAACGGCAAAAACCACAAAGAGGGCTGCTAATGGACCTTCAATCTTTATGCTAATGTAGTTAGTTTTAGAGAATTAAGGCGGCGATTTTGCTTAATATAAACGGTGAATTTCGCCGGTTGCCGGCTCTTGCCGAAACCCCTGTTATGAGCAGTAACTTAGTTTAATTTACAAAGGAACACTTACCCTTATTGGCCAGTTGCTGTCAAGATAATTAGAAGGAGTCTAGAGTGAAGAGAGAGAAAAGAATGAAAGACAAAAAAACGTTATAGATCTCAGAAATCTTTGTAAAGGAAAGACAGCAAATTAAGTAAAACAGCGTCAAATCCAAGAGCACCTACTGAACTACCCACCTGTAACACAAGCCATTGCTTGTTACTGACCAATGTACTGTGTCCAACAGGTCCACCAATCACAGGCCTAGTTCCATTCCCCTCCAAAAGCTCTTGCGTCTCAGAAACCATGTCACCAGTATTGAGGTACAAACATTCTTCACCTTGAAGAAATAGATGCTCGTGGTTGGACTGGAATAATGAAAGTATTAAGCAAAAGTTGTTGACCAGATCAGTTCAAAGCTAAAAAAATCAACCAAATATAATAGTGGCAGAACCAGCAGCAAACACATGCAGGGCCTAATTCCTGCCCTCTCCCTTCCCTAATTATCTCTTTCACCTCTTGCCCCCCCTCTTCCCCCCTCAACTTAAACCCAAATTGGCCTCCTCCAATTTGGGCTGTCCTCTGAATTTTTTCATCCAAATATACCCAAATTGGACCGCATGTAGTTCTATTACAAATTTTAATCTTATCTAGAAAAAAGTCACCATGCAATATATATTTACTAACAATTAAATGTCCTTTCTAGTTCACAAAAATGAGCTCACAAAAATTTAAATTTTGGTTGTTACTTCTGAGAAACTTCTGGCACCTCCTTGCCTTTTACAGTTAATTGAAAAACTGTTTTATGTTCAAATCACTTACCATACAAGGATTTACTGTCAGTGCACTTTTCATGAACTGGAGTTGCATAATGTCTCCTAAAAAAAATTTTAACTACACTGTGATTAAGTGTCTTCACTAACAGAACCATCTGAAATTCAACAGATCCATCTAGTATCAGATGGAACCATGGTTAGTAGAGGGTTCCCTCTACTAACTATGATGGAACCATCTAGATATATCCCACAGCGTGCGATAATGTGACAAAACCCATCCCATAAAACAGTTGTATATTTGAGTCCAGTGTTTTGCAGGGGAAAATTTAATAGCGATTACTTAATTTAAGGTCTTGTAAATTTTACCTGCAGCACCACTCTCTTCCTCAGCAGACACCAAAGCCAAAGTGTAACCTTCTGGGCCCCACCCCTGATAAATAAAAAAATATATTTAATCAATTTAGACTTATTCAGGACTGTATGTCTTATTTTGAGTCATAGCTTGCAAATTCAAGCACTATTTTTTTGGTTAATGGGTGGGTCAAAGACCAATTTAATTATTACCCATAGAAATCAAGAGCAAATACTTTTAACCCTTTCTCTCCCAAGATATTCTTTCCTGTTGTAATTCTCCTTACCATCTGCTATACAATTCTTATGATGCAAGTTTGGAGATTTTGGTATTAGATCAACCAATAAGCCCTTAATGATATTTTTCTTTACTCTGATCACTTGTCTACTTGAGATTGCTTTGCTGTTGTCTTGGTCACTCATGGAAGTTAATTAAAAGGATTAATCGTTGTTTTTATCAACTTGTTGTTCAATACCTAACAATAACGCATGCTCATGCATTTTTTTTTATTTTCTATTATAGTAGCACACTTTTAGGTTACTAGAATAGATAGTGTGTTGCAGGGTCAATCAGATTACAGCATTTGTGACAAAATGCTTGTAATTTCACACAAAAAAGTATCATACTCACCATTGACTTGATGTGCAGTGGATTGTGCAGCACAGCTTCTTGAGATGTCCTGTAAGTACATAGTTTGTATATAAGTATTTATGAGATGCCGATTATAATTAAACTTCAAACAGTTTTTTTATGTTTTGTTGTGATTGTCCTGATGAAACTTGAAGCTATTACAGGCTTGCAAACAACTCTCTTACCATAACTTTTGACAGGTATGCTACTTGTCACCTCATGGAAATATTGTCATGAAAAACATCTTTCACACTAGGATGATATCTAACAAGATTGACAATAGAGGTTTTGCACAGCAGCCATGTTGGATAACAGGAACAATGAAAATATTTTGCATGAGAAAGAAAAAATTTTCCCATGGGTAAAATAACCTATTGTTCCTGCCATTCAACATGGCTGCTGTGCAAAACCTCTATTACCAATCTCCACAATGCACAAAGCCCATGCTCCAGCTTATGGACAATTGGGTCTGGGAAGGGAGTGCTGTGAATCTTTTAAACCAATTATAGATAGCAAGAAAGCAGAATTTGATATCAGATTACTTTCATCACTTGATTGAAAATTGCTCTACAAATCTAAATGTCTAAATGTCTGATCTGCAAAGGGCAGTACAGCCCATCTTCAGCAGATTTCTAAATCTAAATGTCTGATTTGCAAAGGGCAATAAACAGTTTTAGAATCATGTCAAGATACCCGTAGTCTCCACCGAGAGTACACATCAAAAGTGATCCAAATACACTCCACACAGCTAGTCCACCATGGCATTCCCATGACCAAGCTACTGCAATGGCACACCCATCAGGTGTCCAGGAAAGACACTGGATACTGCCTGTAGCCTGAATGGTATCTTAATCCATTGAGTAAAGGCTACCTTGAAAAGGTCTTAATATGCATATTTGCATTGTGGAAAACATCGAGAGAACAGAGTAGCAAGCAAACTGAAAGCCAAATTGTCATATACAGAATAAAATTGACGCAGCATTATAGCTATGGCTTTTATTGTCAATCCTGTGAACTCTTTTCAAAAGTTAAAGTCAGTACCTATGCCAAGTGCCTTACACTTCCACAGCTTACCCAGCCATTTGTCACATGGGCCAACAAGGGCTGCCCAAGACAAAATGCAAGTCCACCTGATGGTTAGGTCATCCTCATTCCTGCACTCTGTCATTTTTCCCTGAAATTTTGCTGGTATCGATGTATACTCATTGGTTGGGAAAGAAAGCCCTGCCAGAGCAGTATAATGTCTGTCCACAAAGAGAACACTGTGACTTAACTGAAAGCTCCCCTTGAAAGTGTTTGCAGTATTGTAAAAGGATACCAGGGTAATCCTTGCTGGACAAAACCAGTTTATGAGAGAGCTGCAAACTGCCTGTCAGATCATCAAAACCATACACCAGACTTTCACCACTAAGCAGAAAAAAATTTAGAAGGTTTCAATACCTATTAACAAGGCTATTACTTTTATAAGCAAGGTTACAATTAATATTATATCAATCCTTTTATAGAAAATATACATTTGCAGGGGTTTCAAAATGTTTTGAAGTAGGCGGCCGACTCTGGAAAAGTAGGCGGCTGTGATAACGCCGAGATTGTTTGTCACAAGCAGACTGTTGTGACCAGAGTAGCTGGCAACATACAATCAAGTAGCCGGGGGGAACTCCGGCGGTCGCTGGCCTGTTTTGAAACCACTGGATTTGCATTGTGTTAAGTCATATTCATTTTTAGAAATAGAGAGGAGTTTATTTATTCATTCATATAATTATTCTCCTTTCTTTTCCCTTCTCCATTAACCCTCTACACTTTTTCAGCCTTGTCTCCCTTCCTTTCATAATATTGTTTCAAAAATATAAGATTACCAAATATTAAGAAGTTCTTATGATCTATTCTTAGCATAATATTGCATCATTCTATTGATTTTATCAGTATAACTTACTTAGTGCATCCAAATGCTATTAATCTGTATCTGTGATTGATCGCAACACAAGTGGCTGAACTTAAATCTTTTGCCCACAACCCGATGATATCCTGAAATACAAATTATCATCATATAACAAGAAGAACTGAAGTTCTTGGTTGACTAAAAAGGATTAAATATTTCATCATCAAATTTTGGATAGAGCATCACTGAAACAGTCCCAAATAGTGGATTCCACAGTGAAATTGAAAAAAGGCTATTGAAAAATATTCCCTGCTCACAGTATGTGCAAAAAAATCCTGCACCCCTGAGGCATTTGTAAAGAAAATGCCATGACATCTACATAAACGAAAACAATAACTTTAACTAACATATACACATTTAAAGAATATTGAAAATCAGTAATCACATAGTGTCATTGCAGATGTTACTTACAGAGCATTCAAAGCTGGCTGTGCCAGCTGATAAAAATCCACCTCTGCCATCCGCCAGCACCACAGCAAACCCACCAAGTAAAGGACTGTATTCAATTGCTCGAAAACTCACACCTTCTGTTTTTAAAGGAATTGCTAAAAGAATTGAGAAAAAAATGAGCTTAAATTTTCTTCAAGAGACATTAAGTGTAAGCTTCCTTCACATTAAAGGAACCCCAATATCTGCACAAAGAGAGAAGAACCCAAAGAAAGACAGAGGATAATAATGGAGAGAAAGAATGATAGAGACTAGATAAAAAGCCACCTGGAAAAACAAGCACACTACCTATACCAGTGGTGAAAACTGACAGTGACATTAAGTGCAACAATGGTGGAGATTCAGATTCCATGCTTAGAAGGTCTGAAGTTTGGTTCCTCATAGAGATTCAAAATTTTTCTTTGTCCCATGCTTGTGACAAGACAAAAAAACCTCTCTTGCTATTTCTTTACCAGGCTCAAAACTTACCACCTTTCTTATTTATAAAAACATGATGCTATCCACATTGCCGAACCAATCAGTATGCAGGATGCTTGTCATATATAAACTTTATAATGGGCCTGGCTCATCATAGAGTCTCTGTGGCTCTGGGATAGAGTAATAGTGTGAAGAATTCAAAGTTCTGAGGTTTGATTCCTCATGGGCACTCGGAATTTTTCTTTAACAAGATGAAAAACATCTTTCTCTTCGATTTGTTTTATCCAGCATTCTATGTTTAAATGATAGGTGAATTCCATGACTGTTGCAGAAACATCACTTACCCAATAAGTTTATAGAATAATACTGTCCTGAAATTATTCCTTGTTTATTGCACAAAAAATAAAACAGTTAAACATTTAAAAAGTTTAAATTCACCTCTTGCATTCTCTAGGTCATTTGTGAAAGGTATGGAGTGAATAGACATAGTCATTCCTCCTTCAAGAAAGCCATCCCAAGTAACTCGTTGGAGAAGACCACTGCCAGTTGAGACAAATAACTCATCACGCCTTGCAGCCACACTGAAAATAAGAGTTACCAATATGAAACTGTTCTATAAAATCTGTTTGTAAAAATCTCTGATAAGACTTCTAAAAACTTTCTTCTTGGTTAGAGCCCTAGATTACTGTGCAAGAGATTGAGGGTTCAAACAACAGACCAAACCAATACTCAGGGTCTTAAAATAACAGAGGAGAATGTTCTGCCTTAAAATGCGAGACCCCGTCTCCTGCATCTTCTCTGTACTAGTTACCAGGGACAGGGGTTTCATCAAGGGCCAAGCACCGGACAAATTGACCGGTTGTGAGGACGGTTTTGCCCAACTGATTTGACGGTCTGGAGGAAAGTTTATCTAATAAAGAAGTTCAGTTCAAAGAGTTTTGCCCGCCTGTGAAAACCAGTTGCCCTCCTGCAGAAAACATTAATGAAGCCCCTGCAGGGGAGGTTATAGAACCCACACACTTCTCACAAAGAGTGCAGAATGTAATAGGCCCCTATTCAAATTAGCTTTAAAGCTTATAAACTAATCCAGCCTGTCTAAATATTACAAATAACTAATTTAATAAACATCTTATTTAACACTTACATAGTAGGGTTGTTTGTTGTCAGAAATGAAATTATATGTGATATCATATTGCTGTAAAATACACAATCATACAATACCTGGTGACACCTCCTGAGATTGGGACAATAGCAATTTCTACAAGTTTCAAAGCTGGTACTCCAGCTGGAGAATTAGGAGATGAATGTCTGTGAGAGTGACTGAAAAAAAGATTTTTTTTAACGAAGAGTTATAATAATTATGAAATGAAAAAAAAAATACATGTTCAAAAAGGTAAATTTGTAGAAAGGTAAGGAATTCAATGATGTCTGAACTTATGGAATATGGGCCTTAGGTTGCTCAACCTTTAACTCCCATGAGTGACCAAGAGAGAATTTCTCCTTACAATGTCAATACAATATCAAGCAGACAAAAGATGAGAATAAAGAAAAATATCAATCAGGAGATAAATATTTGGTGTAATACCAAATTCTTCAAACCAACATGTATGGCAGTCTGTAAGGAGATTTTCTAATGAGGTCTTAGAAGTAAAAGGGTTAATGAGTGACTGTGTGACCATTCTTAAATATTCTTCTTGCATGTGATATAGACAGTCATTCACCTTGAGAATCTTGGAACATAAAGTTGTACCCCATTGTTTCTTTGTAATTCTAGGAACACTATCTTTCCCTCTGATGTCTGAATATAAAATAAAATGAAACAAAATCAATACTTTTTATGAAAAAAAGTCAAATGAAACTTCAACTGAAGTAGGAGGAAATGTAACTTCAAACTGAGCTTAGTGTTAATAAGATTCACAACAACATCTTCACTAGTTCTTTCCAGGATTAACTGTTACAGTACTTGGAAATTGAAACAAGACATGAACATAATGATACCAATGAGTGAAGAAAAATCTCTAGAGGGAAAAAGATTTATAGAAAAAAACTTCCTGTTTCATTTACTGTTTCTTGATCTTACATAATGAAGAATACTTACAATAATGACTAATCCAAAGCTATTGCTAGTGAAATTCATTTACTAATCAGATGCACTCACACTAACAGCCAGTCCAGTAGAGTCTGGTTTCCAAGCAACTGTAACATTTCTTCCAACATCTTTAATAGCATCAAATGATCGCCGATAAGCAACCACCAGTACTCTTGGCTGAATGAAATTAAAACAACAAGGTACAGTTGATAATACAGTAAAAACCTGCTTGTAAGAACCTATTAATTAAGAACTTTTTGGGCAGAAATTTTGGATTTTAATACCCAAAAATATAAGAACCTGTTTTACCCAGCAAAACCTGCATGGTTCTTATATGAAGAATCATTCTGGATAATGAAACAATGTTGTAGCAAAATATGTCTGTAACTATTAAAATAAATGTTTTCTATATACAGTTGATACTTCCATAAAACATGTCATAATACAGTTTCCTCACTGTATTTATGGCTCCCAGTCATGTATAAAAATTAATTATTTAATTTAATAATTATTTAATAGCATTTTCATTAGAGATATTTTAAGAACCTATTAAGAACCTATTTTTCCTAAGTTGTCAGTAAATACCCCAAAACATAAGAACCTATTTTGCCAGACATGAAAAAAAAAAATGGTTCTTAGACACGGGTTTTTACTATACTTGTAAAACATTCATTTTACATCAGAAAGACACATGATCTTGTTCAGAGACATAAAAATCTCTAAAAATATAAACTAAGAATGATATAATTTGGTTCCATCATGACGCTTCCAGTCATTATGCCTGGCTTATATGGATTACAAATAAACAACTGATGCCCATGCAGTGTTTGCCAGCTAAGAAACTGTTTACAATTGAATAATTACAACCATGCTTTTAAATGTCAAAAATACGCAGCTACTCTGTTCTCGAATCGAACAAGTAGGAAATGAGTGAAAAGCTACCTTAATATAGAACATGATGGTTCTATAGGCATGCTTGTAAAACAAAATATCGTGGGGGTAAACTAACGGTTAGCAGCTGGTTTTACACGATACTTAGCCACGCACGAAACTGTCAAGAGTCTTTCTAAGTATAATTTCGTTCATCAGCTGGAGCTCCAACGGTAAAATGATATTCACAGAGATAGAGGAGAAACTTTTTAATACTCACTCGGTTGTTCCAAATACACACACTATGATCTGAAATCACGGCCAGTAGCGTGCGATCTCTGTTGTATTTTAGGGATTTAAGCTCACCACAGTGGACATCCCTTGAACTGAAGTACTTCGGCCAACCGATTGGAAAGTACATTTCAAGAAGTAATGCAAAATTGTGGTAAAGTTTTATTTACAAAGTTAGGAGAGGGTATCGGACCGCCATGTTGTTGTTCTTGCCTCGACTTCAATCTTGACAAAAGAGAGTATTTAGGTGTAGGGGTAGTGGTTCTCATACTTTTGGCGCAAACTTTTCGCTCTGACTTGAATGTCATAAAATTAGATTAAAAACGTACGATTAAAAACAATTAAGATAAATTAGTTTAAGCTTTTGATAAACCTTGTCTGATGAGGTAATAGATTTCCGGTTTTTTCCGTAAGTAAATTTTACACCTCCCTTCTAAGTTACTTTTGTCTAAAACTATTATGAAGGCATACTAAGCAGCGGTTTAGACCAATCAAGTTAAAAAATATGATCTTCTACTGATAATCTACTCTACTCTACGTGACGAAAAGAATACTTTGAATGTTTCATCTATCTTCTTTCGTTGGGAGGCTAACCTCTTCAGTCCAAAGAGCGATGAGTTCATCAGTCAAGCCGATTGTTATTTTTGTTCTTGGTGGTCCAGGCGCTGGCAAAGGAACCCAGTGCTCGAAAATCGTGGAGGTATATTTTCAACGTAAATGTCACGTGCAAGGAATTCCTAAGTCGATCGATCGTGTAAACGTGGCACTTAAACTATTTTTAATTTGTACTTGTGTTCGTTGTGATTATCTGCGATGCATTGCGTATCTAGAGAATTGATTTTAGAAAAGATACATCAACTTATATTTAGCTTTTTAAATTTGTTTTCGTGACAAAATCAAAACACTAGGCTAAGTTTTCTTTGCCCGGTAATATCAGCTGACGTATAATTTACCTCTGGCTAGAAGTATTGAGTTAAATTGAGTCAATGATCGTTTTAAATTGATAAAAGTTTAAAGGAATATCATACAACATCTCTGATTACCGGGCAACTTCACATAAATGCGAAACTATAATTAAGAATTTTGTTAAATGTAAGATTACTCCAACTGAAATTTGGAATAATTAGGTCAAGTTATTTGTTTGACAAGTGTTTCATGAATAAACAGTTATTTAGTATTTTAGGGAAAATGTTATTTGGCAGGGTAATTTTGGGATCTTCTCTATTGTTGAAACAATTCCACTCCCAATGTTATCCTCTTACATGAACGTGTACCTGCTCTGCTGCAAAGCCATTTAGAGGCATGAGCTCTGGTATTAAGAATGGACTAACACTCTTCCTGATCCTTCTTCTTCCCCTGCAACTTTTCTTCATTCCAATGTTAGCAGCCTTTTTCTCGTTGTGCTGCTTTTCTCATCTCTCAATTCTCAATCACTAACCTGAGATAAAAACACTGCTTTAGAAAAATTAACTTTTTCTTATTATTTATTTTCCAGAAATATGGATACATTCATTTATCTGCAGGTGACTTGTTAAGGGAGGAAAGAAACAGTGGCTCAGAGAATGGGGATCTGATAGAGTCTTGCATAAGAGAAGGAAAGATTGTCCCTGTAGAAATAACCATAAGTTTGATTGAGAAGGTGAGTCTAAAAGGGAAAAGGGATAGTGCAGTGGTGAGAGCACTGTTTCCCGGACCTTGCTCTGAGAGTTTTTACTTTAGGTCTTTCAGTTTTCCTTCCTCTACAAAAAGAGCAACATTCCAAATTTCAATTTGATGGGAAACAGTGGACAAGAGGAGCCACCTCGTGGAATATTAATTTTAAGCTAAGTGTAAAACTCCGTTGTGAACTGCCAATAATGTCTAGGAAGTGACGAAACCTCAATGCAATTACAAGCAAGATTTACATTTAACCCCATTATGCATGCAGTTCCTTGACAAAAGACAACAAAGGTTGAAAATAATTGATTACCTTTGGGATCCAGACACTTTTATAATTATAGTATAGTTTGATACAGAAATCTTTCCTGAATATATGATGCTACTTTATGGGAGATGCTATAGCTAATAAATTTGAAAATTTGCTGATGGCAGCCTAATAATGTAACTTTGAAATTTATAACCTTACAAATGAAATCTAGACCCTAAATTCCATGCAGCACTATGGCAAAAACAGAAAACACCAACTACTGTCAAATGCTGCCTGTAACACAAACCCTCTGAAAGTAAATTGAAAGAAATGAGATAAAATCATTGGTATTGGTGCTAACTAGAACAATTGACATGTTAATAAAGTTATTCATTCATTCAATTTATTTTACCAGGCAATGAATAAAAGCGGTGAGAAAAAGTTCCTAATAGATGGATTTCCAAGAAATGAAGATAACCTTCAAGGCTGGAATAGAGAGATGAAAGGAAAAGCTGTTGTGAAGTGTGTGTTAGTCTTTGAATGTACAGAAGATGTGAGTACCTTGCCCAATCAAAATCATTGGAAAATTCTCACATGTAAGGAAGTAATTGTGGTGGTGGACTGAAATTTTTGCGATTGCAGGAAAGAAGCTTAAAAACATTCAAGCTTTAATGAGATTCAGACCCATGCCTCTCATTTGGCACTACTACCAAGTGAGCTAGGAAGCTATTCCTTGGAAGTAGGGGAAACTGTTGAAATTGCTTTATTTATTTATAACAAACAGCTGTTAACTGTCTGATTGGAGCAATTATAATTATAGTAAAGAGTATATGTCGTACTTTAACTTAGACAGCCAACATGGAAACTGCACATCATTTGGTGTTTTTGAACAGTATACACTGTTTGTGCCTTTTGGAAGATGAAATACATGTTGACTATATTTTCCCCAAATATCTTTCAAAAATCCACCCATTGTGTTTTTGTCTTGGAAGAGGTTGATTCATGCTAGAGAGTAACATGCCAAGCCTATTTTGACTTTAATATTTTATCCAAATTCATTGATCACCTGTTTGATTACAGGACTGGACTCTTCCTTTATTCCTTTTACCATAATGATTTCAGATCAATTAGGAAAAGTCATTGAAAATTTGGAGGAGGTAAACTGCAACTCTAAAATGTGGAGCATAGTATAATCACTCCAGCCTTTTTCTTTCTGCTAGGAATGCATCAGAAGAATATTAGAGAGGGGTAAATCCAGTGGACGAGCAGATGATAACATAGATAGCCTTAGAAAGAGGTAAATATATATAAAAAAAAGAACAACAAAAAAACAAAAACAAAAAAAACTTGAACAAGTAGGCTGAATGGTTCTCTGGGTGTTGGAACATATATTTATTGTTTTAAAAATATAGTTTATTTTTTGTTGTTATTTATGCAGCATTTCCTTATTAATTAGTAACAATAATTTAATGTCAGATCAAGAAAGCAACTTGTCCTATTTTGCTTTCTAGATTCCACACACATGAAACACAGACAATGCCAATAATAGAACACTATGAAAAGCAAGGACTTGTTAGGAAGATCCAAGCAATTAAGTCACCCAGTGAGGTAAAAATAATTAATTTTGTCATAATCATTAATCAATGAATTATTCAAAAGAGCATTGCATGGCACCTGCTAGCTGTGGTTAAGATTAGCAATTTTTTCTCAAAATTTTTTTTTTGTTCTCACATAAGTTCATGCAACTAAAATCTAAAATTAAGCAGTGTTCTCCCATGACGCAGAAGCTAAATTTTTAAACTGGTAAGAGCAATCCCTTTACCTGTTGAATTTTCAAGGATTCCACGTGATTTTAGGTATTAATAAGTGGTACTAGAGGAAATAAATTTAACCAGTTACTGCCTGAATAGGAGAATCCAGACTAAGGAATAAAAAAGTCTTTTTATAGGATTACACAATTACTGGTGAACCAGTGGTTTCCATTGTGGTCCTTGCAAACAAATGAAACAAAATGGTCTAAATTGAACATAACATCATTAAGAACACCAACCTAAACAGATCCGTGGTCAGTGTGCCACTCGAACCTGGGAGCGGCAGATTACGAGTCCGACACTCTAACCACCCGGCCACACTGCCTCCTTCATTATTTCAGTCAAAAGAATCTCTACACTGTTGTGATAATTATAGTAAAAGCTAAGCAGCTAGACTGCTACAATGTTATTTAATTAATAGAAACGTGGGATATTGGTTGAGGGAAATTGTACATATTTTGCATGATTTCTGAACAACATTTTCTCTGTGACAGGTGTTTGAGGAAGTTCAGAATGTAATCACAAGCCTTGGTTTATGAAGATTACAAGTTCATTGAGAGTTTGATGAAAAACTGTTTTGAGTTCATTAGAAGTATAACAGGGTAATTTGGTTTTATCAACTGAGTTCATGAAGTAAATAAGCCATCATAAAGAGTTTCAAAAGCTGACATTTTGAGCATTAGCCCTCTCAAAACCTCAGTTATGAAAATCTTTACAGTGGCCAATTTACTTTATCAACTCAGTTGATAAAACCAAAATTACCTTGTTACACTTCCCTACTGACACAGCACCACAGTTTGTTTTAGTAACTTAACCCTTTATTCATGCAAGTATAGTTTGTTAAACTGTGTTGGTAAATGAAATGGCTTCATGAAATGTTAACCATCACTTGTTACATACATCCAGAGACCATTTTTTATCAAATTGTATGTTACAGTTATCAATGCATCATTTTACAGAATATTCATTCTTATGTCTATGAATATACCCTAAATCCTTTAATAAGTCTCCCCTCTGATGAGCCACCCCCCTTCAATAAGCCCTAATGAGAAATTTATTAAGTCCCCCACCCCTCCCCTCTCAAAAAAAAAAAAACAAAAAATTCAAAAATAACACTCCATGTCAGTAAGTACATTAAATTTATTCAGACAAGTACTGTAATTTTAGTTTGTCATTTAAATTTGATTATGGTGATTGATATTTAATGATATTGTGTAGGCATCAATAGAATATGGTATACGGAAATTACAGAACAAAGCTAAAAATGTAACATGGCTAAACAAGATCCATTGAGAGAGTTGGATCATAGAATTGAGTTCTTTATTGAGTTCTAAATTAATAGGGCCCCCCCTCTAAAAAGCCATCCCCTTGAAGTAACTGAAATAAATAAGTCCCTGGGGGGCTTATTGGAGGATTTAAAGGAACTAGAAATTTTTGGCATGACTCATTTGCAAGAAAACTTTGTCCACTAATTCTTAACCCTTCAACTCCCAGAAATGATCAACGTGAAACTTCTCCCTGTAATAGCATCACATTATCCAGCAAACAAGTAGTGAGAATACCCAAATTCACCAGGTCTTGATCAAACACCAAATTCTCATATCTAATTTACAACGAAATGTGTAGCAGCTAGAGGGGAGAATTTACATTGAGATCTTTGGAGTTAAAGGGTTAAAGGAAACTATGAATGGTAGAAAAACTTGCTGTAAAATGATTTAAAAAATTAGGAAACAAGAACTGAATTGTATATGTGCACGATCCTTTGCAGTTAAGCACTGTTTGAGCAATAGTGAAAATCAGACCTGAAAAAAATTTTCAGGCCTGTACGGGAGTCGAACCACTGACCTCTGCGATACTAGTGCAGCGCTCTACCAATTGAGCTAACAAGCCAACTGGGAGCAGGCCATCAAATTAATTCGACATAAACCCGTAGATGATAAATCATACAACAACAAACATATGGAACTGAATTGTACAAAAGCCATTAACAAACAAAGCAATATTAATGCTTGAATTTCCCAGAAGGCACCATTTTGGCTTGTATAGCACTAAACAGTTGCCACTTTTATTGTCTTACTAGAAAGAGCTCTTTTTGTTCATAAGAGTCCCAAAGAGATCATGCAGAAAATAATGGCAACCGTCACTCTTCATACATTCAACATGGTGACACACAGAATTCCAGATTGAAAACAGCCAATATCTGTGATTTTTTTCTTGCACAAGTACTTTATTCCAATTTATGACAAAAAAGGCAGTGCTGAGGTTGCGGGGGCACATTTGCCTAAGAAAGACATGTGCAGTGAAAGAGACCCACAAAGTTGACGAGTTACGAATACATGTAGGTTTCCATTTGAATGATTGTTGTTGAATGTAAATTGACAAAGGGTGAAAGGTAAGATTTCCAAATTACTTAAGATTGATACTTTATGGAGAAAAACTTTGAAAGTCAATGTTCACTGCTTGATCATTGTTTGTAAGCCACCCTTAACTTACTGTCTTTTACTTCTCTTGAAAAATGAATGATCTATGTAGACACAAATTAATGTACTGTTAAACACCAAGAACTCCAAAGGTGTATGTAGATAGTTACTAGTAGTAATTATTGTCATAGACAATAAACCGAGGATCTAGTTTACAAAAATACACTACCCTATCACTACTTTTGTAGTTTCAAAAAGTGATTTATCATATGATGGTAATAATATCGACCTCTGTAGTAAGCATACTTGTTACTATTCACTCTTGGAAAAAAAATAAATTATGCAACTGGGGATTTTTGTGCACCATGTTTCTATAGCAAGCACACAATTACAAAACTTGTGGCTGAAGCTCACAAACTACTGGTAAAGATTCTCTCAGGTGCTAACTAGGACAATTTGGTTAAAGATCAAGAGCTTCTCTGGCTGGTGATCACTTTCTCCTGACCTTAAAAGAGTGATTCAGGGGTGACACTTTAAGGAGATATTAGATGCAAATTACTCTCAGGGGTCAAAGGATTTGGGGGCCTTTACACCTTTAAAAAGAAATTATTTGTTGTATTCTTCTCTGAAATACCCTGCTCATGGTAAAGCACCTTCGAGAGCCTTCTTCCAGGCTGTTTACAAACAAGTCCTTGTTATTAAAGTGCTGATCAAATGGACCAGTTAATGAACCATGAAAGTGCCATAAAACAGTTTTGTTTTTTTTAGGTGGTTGGCCTGTTAAGTAGGTGGGTTGGACTGGTTCAAAAATTCCAAAATGTATGGTTGGTGGTGGGATTATTTAGTAATGAACTTATTCCTTTCAATCAATGAGGATGGCTTCCCAGGAAGCAAATGCTGTTGCAAAAATCCATGATAATTTTTATCTTCTTGAGTTATAAAGGATGCTTCCCCTACAGAAAAGTATTTACAAAACAATGAGTAAAAAACAAATTATCAAAAATTATTAACAACCATTAAACATATTATCATTATTGACATCTCAGTTAATTGATAGGTATGTCTACATGTGGGCAACTTTTACATGCAAGAATTACTAATAGATTACCTGAGAGAGGGGGACAGTTACAATTCCTTCTGACCTCTAATGCCTACAATAAAGTAAAATTTAAGTTAATATTGATCCTATACTTCAATAAGTTAAAAGCTGGTTAATGGTTCACTTTGTCAGTGAAAGCATTTATAAGTGTACCCCTTCAAATTGTTTGCCACACTAAGTTTTTGATTCATACCTGTCTGATATTTTACACCAAACAATTTTCATAGCTTTATTTACCTGTGGAAGTAAAGCCTCTAGATTGTCTGCTCTGTCTCTATGCTTTGGATGGGTGGAAAGCCACTTTAATAACTCTGGTTCGTCCATTTCATTTTGAGTGTTTGCCAATCGGCGCCAAAACCTGGGACTCTCTCGAACATCAAAGCATGCCTGGGAATGGAGAAGGTAAAACAGGAACTAAAAAATGATGCTAGGGAAAATGAACTTGCTCACTTTTCTTGCAAGAGTGAGCTTCCATTGTATTACCATTAGTCAGATTAGTGCTTCAGATTGCCACTGAGCTACTGGACTTTTGATTGACAGGCCATGATTTGATTTTGATTTTTTTGATTGACAGGCCATGTTTTGATTGACAGGCCATGTTTTGATTGACAGGCCATGAGACAGGATGACTGGGTTTAAAGGTAAACAATGATGTCCAATAAGCATATAAAGCAAAGGAGTGATATTTGATTACATGATTTTTTTTTTTTTTTGTACAAATCATCATTCAATTATTGCATGGTGCCCTGATCTTTTTCAGTGATGGTTACCACCTGCAATTGAATTGTTCAGTTCTGAATGAACTGCAACAGATTAAAACTTTTACCTTGGCTGCCATGTTCATTCCAACCTCATCTGCCTCTTCTTCTAATTTTCTTGAATAAGGAAGGTGAAGAAAAATCTGAGGAATATTTATTAAAGAGTTAAATACCTTTCTCTGACTAGAGTACTGAATACTTGCCGACCATTCTGCCTAATCTGCTTTGTATTCACTCTTATTTGAGGCAACATTACCAGTTAACACTATCATGTTACCATCAGATGATATTTTTTTTGTGTAAATGTTTCACTTACGCTGAGTATTCTGTTTTGAAACCAATGAGCAAAGATAGCTGCTTCTGTCGGCAGGAGGGCCCAGAGTAATGCAAGAACTATGACAATAAACATGTTAATGAAACCACACAGGCTGACTTGTTCTGCCTACAAAAAAAAAAAAAACAAATGTACACATGCACTCAAACCATTCAGTTGAAGATTATCAGGACAGCTAAAATAAAAATGTTACAAAGCTGTCACATTATAATTAACTTTGTGCCCTAAGAACAAATCTTAACATTGCACCTGTTCAACAGCAACAACACAAGGGAAATATGGAGAAAAGTTTCAGGTGATAAGTTATATTACCTCAAAGGCAGTGAGGGTGGAAAAAGGAGAACAATCTCCCCTTGGCTCCCTCTTTGTCCTAAATTTATAGCTATAGGAGGGGTTTAGTTTAAAAAAACCAGTGGTGCTGTGTCGATGGGGGAGTACAACTAGATAATTTTAAATTAGTTCTTCTTAACTGAGCAGGAGGTCTGTATGGGAGAATCTTGACTGAGGTAGCCAGTACAGACCTCACTGCGTTCGGTCTGTACCAGCGACCATACAGACCGACCTAGCTCGGTTAATAAGATGTTTATCATATGGCTGTGTCTTATATGCCAATTTCTTATATTCTTTGTACCTTTCTTTTTTTCTAGACCAGTCTAGATGCCAGTCTAGATGGGAAAATCTAGACCACTTTCAATATTCATTTCAGCCAATCAAATTCATGAATTTGGTAGTTCCCAGTCTTTGCTAGACACAGCCGTATAATAATTGGTTTTATCAAGTGAGTTGATAATGTAAATTGGCCTCTGTAAAGAGTTTAAGAGCAGAAATTTTGAGCGTCAGCCCTGCATCAGAGGAAAGGGTTAACACTTTGCTCTGACAAAGAGTTAATGCTCGAAAAATCAGCTTTGAGACTCTTCACAAAGGCCAATTTACATTATCAACTCAGTTGATAAAACCAAAATTATCCTATTCCTATATTTAACAATTATTCGCCAAAGACGAGGTGAATCTCATTGAATAATCCCCTCGACTTAGTCTTGGGGATTATTCGACAATATTCACTGAACCTGAGGCAAATAATTGTTTTAATTTCAGAGCTGAACAACAGAGAAATTTCTAAAATCATAACATTTTAGTAATATTTATTAACATTCTATTTTAACACTTTATATAAACCCCATGGAGCAGTTCATATAGCATCATATAGGGAACCGCTCAACCAATCAGATTGCTGGAAACTCTTTGCTCAGCTATGAAATTATACTAATTACAAATATTTACGAACATTTATACAGGATAGCCCAGTTCAGCTAAAAGCTGGTTTAAATGGGACCCTGTCACACCCACCCATCCCACCCCAGGGGAGGATATCCACCACACAGTAATCTTGTGCGTGAGAAATTAACGTCTCCTATGCCTAGCTCTGCAGGAGACAGGGCCTACGTTTTATTCGTCCTTATTCGAGAAGACTAGAATATCTATCCATTTCTTGATATTATAGAAAGGTAGCAAATTCTCTTCAGTTATTTTAAGACCATGAGTATTGGTCCAGCCAGGGCTCAAACCCTCGACCTTCCGCACACCACAATCCGGCACTCTAACCAATTGAGCTAACCAGGAGGCGGTTATTCCTATAATAACCTATTTTACCAACTTATCATCTTATAATGATTAACTTTGTCCTTTCTTGGAGTGACTCAGAGGTTATTTCTCCTTGCAATTTGACAACATTTTCAAGGAGAATTAAGGCAGATATAGTTTCATTTAAGACTGAATTCTCACAGCTAAAATTACAAGAAAAGTGTGGCAGATAGTAGAGAAAATTAATATTTACAGGTGTACACCCTTTGAGTGAAAAGTTTAAAATACTTACCCCATGTTGTAAAATAGCATGGGACATTTCATGACCAAGAATAGTGGCCAGTGAGTCATCATTTGGTAATACTTTCAACATTCCAGAAAACATGAAAATCTGACCATTCTGTAAAGTAGACGATGTAGGTTACTCATTTTAATACAGCATTTACTTTAAAAAATTCACCTCTTTACAGGGAGATACAGTGGCTTTATGGTCAGTGAACTGCAGTCTGCATCAAGAAGACTGGATCCAGTCCTAGCCAGGACATTGCATAGGCTGTGTTCTTAGGCTAGACACCTAAGTCTGACCATGTCTCTTTCGACTTGTGGTTACAGAAAGATAGTCTGAAATAACACTTGAAAGAAAACTGCTGTAGAAACTAGGATAGACACTGGCAGGTAAGCGAGTCAGTCTTAAATTTAGGTAAAGGTGAAAAGATATGTAGACAAGCCAAGTGACCCATCAAGGTAGAGCTAATGCCCCTGTTTTCTTAGCATGGGGTGACTAACAGTATTACCACCCTAAATTGAAGGAATGCATTTCACCAAGCTTCCCTGACAATTTGACAGTACCAGTTTATCCTCCTGGTTAGAGAGAAGCACTACAAGAGTAAAGCATTTTTCCCAAGAACACATCACAATGATGCAGCAAGGTCTTGGGCCTCAACATCTTGACCCAGAGTCCAGTGCATTAGCCATAGCACTACCCTCACATTGGTATGTATATTCTCCATACTGTTCTCTGTATATTTCCTAAGGTGCTGGTGAGGAGAATGTTTTTGAACAATCAAGAGCTTCTTTAGTTGGTGATCAGGGTCGGGTCATTCAAAAGGTGCATTAACATAGCCCAGGGTTAGTGTGAAATTTGATTTCAGATCAGAAAGCTTTAACAGAAAATTTAGTTTAATTCCATTTGTCCCCAATTTGATGATTGAATGCTCTAAAAAGAACTGGGAAAATTATCCCAAAATGGTTTCTGACAGAAAAATAGGGAAACCTGGATTAAAATTTAACCCTGGGTTAGCACTT